GCAGAATTGCTGAGGCCTGTACCACCATAACTATCACAGCCTTGTACCAGATATTTGGGGAAAAGTACATGCCCACAGGATTGGAAATAATCAGTGTTCATTCCGTTGGAAAAAAAAAAGGGGGGGTAACTCCAAGAAATCCTCCAATTGCCTTCATAATTTATACTAGCTTATTCTGCTTAAGATCATACAACATCTAGTGCTGACCATAAATAGGAATTACCAGATGTTCACGCTAGTTTTAGAAGGAGTCATGGCACTTTTGACCAAATTGCAAATCTACACTGGATCATGAAACAAATATATTTAGATAAAGGGCCAGAGAAATAGCAATAGCACTTAGACTTATATACTGCTTTACAGTGCTTTACAGCCTTCTCTAAGTGGTTTACATAGTCAGCATATTGCCCCCAACAATTTGGGTTCTCATTTTACCCGCCTCGGAAGGATAGAAGACTGAATCAACCTTGAGCCTGGTGAGATTTGAACTGTCAGATTGCAGTCAGCCAGCAATCAGCAGAAGTAGCTTGCAGTACTGCACTCTAACCACTGTGCCACTGATAACACTGTATCACTGTTCTTACCACCCCAAGAAAGGCCTTAAAAGCAGCTGTAAGTCATGTTCAGTCAGAATCATCTTTTGTTTTCCTCCAGCAGTGCTCTATATTCCCCTTGCTACTAGTCACTTTTTGAGTGATGTGCACTTTGAGTTTTAATTTAATTAAAAATAGCTTGTCCATGGTATCAAAGGATTGGATACCACTTAAAAAATTCAATAGAAATTGTGGGAAATTTGACAGAGTTAATGTGCCAGTCATACAAACATCACTTAATTTATTCTATTAAGCAGGGTAACAGATTAATAACATAGGATAATTAATTAGATATTTAATTAATAAAAGTTAACAAACAGTTAATATAATAATAACTATTTGTCAATAGCTAATTAACAGATTAATAGAGGTTAACATCTACACTGATTGTGGGAAGAATGGAAATGTGTGTAGTGTATATATAGGAAAACATAAAATGCATGATTTTAAATATAATACAGTAGGGCTCAAACAGTTTAAATTATAGAAAGTAAAATTATAGGTTACTTCTATTTTATGTATAAACCTTTATTTTAGATAATGTTCAATAATTTGAATAATGATACATCACTTTCAGTTTATCTTGCAAAAATCTCAATATTTTTCAAATGTATATCCTTTACATCTTAATCCTGTTTAAACTTTTTATTCAGTCTCATCACAAGAGTTTAACTGCAAATTATAAGATAGTAAGTAATCTTGGTCCTCAGCACTTTTGTACTTAAAATTCAATAGCACTTTCCTAGTTATACTGTACTGAATGTGTAATGATATCATAATAAAAATACTCCAAAGGGAGTATATTATTTATAAAAAGATGACAATTTTGAAAGTTTACTTACATAACAGAATACATAATACAAAAGTGAGTTTTGTAGTGTATATTGTATCATAGGCTTACAGACCTGAAACTGATCTTATCATTTAGAGTTTCTTTGTAATGTCACCAATTCATTTTCTCTATCTACACACAAATACTGAAGCAAGGTATAGTTAGAACATTTATTTATGCTTCAACCTTTTGTGAAGATAAGAAAGAAAAACTGGCAGAAAAGACTCCATTATGCTGGGCAAAAACAGAAAGAAAGAAAGAAATATTAAATGCAACTTGTTACATTATAAAAGAGAGTTTTTACCTTATATATTCTGAATTGGTCTGAAGTTTTTCAGAAATTGTTATTTTTTCTAATTCTAAGCAGTTTGTGATAGATTTAGTTTCTGCTATTTCTTTTTCAAAATCTAAAAAGAAATGACACTGTTTTATAATAAACTATTATCCATTTATTCTAGACCATTAAAAAAATTACAATAAACTCAATAGATTTGTTCTTTGAACAGCTCTAGGCCAAAGGTCAAGTAGAGCCTCCACAATCCAAAATTCTCAAGTTCAATTTGCATAAGGTGACCAGACGTCCCGCTTTTGGCGGGACAGTCCCGCTTTTGAGCAATTTGTCCCGCGTCCCGCGGCGTTTTAAAAAAGTCCCGATTTTTCATTCTGCCTCCTGGTTCCCGGCTGCCTCCTGAATCCCCGCTGATGGCTAGAGGGAAAAAAACCTGTTTAAACTCTTGCCACGGGGCTTCAAAGGGCCGCCCTACGTTAATTAGCTCGGCTTCCCCCTCTCAGCTGATTTGCACAGGGCTCTGCTCTTGCTAAATTGCTCAGTTTTTTTTTCCTCTTTGTGCAAACCAAGCTCAAAACGAAACTGGAAGTAAAACAGGCTGTTGGCTTTGCGGTTTGCTTGCAACGTTGGAAAATTAGGCAGCAGATTTATTTTCCTTTTCCTCACCAAAAAAGGTAAGTGCAAACAATGGAAAATTATTTAGGACAAAAGAGGAGAGTTCAAGATTTTAAAACACAAAAGAAAAAAAAGCTCTTTTTAACTAGGGAATTGTAATAATTGAGATATTATTAATTGTATACTGTGTTGAAAGCAGAAATGGTTAAGTTGTGGTTTGGAGAAATATATGGGGGAAATTATTTGGTTTATTATTATTGGTAAGTATAATTAATTGATTTGTAAGAAATTGGATTGCATGGAAATAATTGGAATATTCATGTTCATATTGATTAATATACAAAAAAGATAGTTATATAACTAATTGATTTATATTAAACTGTTGAATTTGTATTAAACAACTGTATTACATAATTACATAATTAACCAATGTGAGGATGGATATAAAAATAGATGACAATGGGAAGGGGTATAAAATAGAATAGAAGGGAAAAATTGAATTTGATTAAGATTAGAGATGAGGATGAAGGGTAATATTGTTTTTTTTAAAAAATAGATGAGGAATAAATATGGCAAAAAGGAAATATAGAAATTGTAAATTTAATTGAAATGACTAAACACTGTTTAAATTTGTGAACCAGCCAAATATTCTGTTCAAAGAAAATACATTGTATGTATGTGTGTTTCTAATTATTGCTATTTATTCATATTTGTTCTCTTTTATTCTTTAAAGTTTAACAATTCATTCTTTATCTTAATATCTTTATATTTGTTTGGGGTTGGCCTTCTTCCCTTTCATCTTTTTTATTGTACAGCAATCTTTCTCCTCAAACCTACCACCTCTCTTTTCTTTCCTTCTTACTTTCTCTTCCCCCCCTCTTCTTCTCCTCCCTACTTCCTCTTCCTTTCTCCTTCTCCTCCTCTCTTCCTCCCTCTCTTACCCTCACTCCTACTCTAATTTCCCTTCCCTTCCTTCATCCCTCTCAATTACTGTATCCTTTTATGCATATGGACTACTCAGAGGGCTGAAAAAGTTATTTTTGACTGGTCCTCGCACTTTTGACCAGTCCTCGAACTTACGACTGTCCTCACATTTTACATTTTTGCCCTATCTTGTCATCATGGTGAAGAGAAGCAGTTGTGAAATGAGTGACATGGTTGTTAAGAATGCTGCATGGGCATAAATATGAGGATGGTCATAAGTGTGAGGACCAGTCAAAAGTGCGAGGACCTGTCAGAAATGACTTTTTTCAGCCCTCTGGTTAGTCCTTTTGTGCATATGGACTACTCAGAGGGCTGAAAAAGTTATTTTTGACTGGTCCTCGCACTTTTGACCAGTCCTCGAACTTACGACTGTCCTCACATTTTACATTTTTGCCCTATCTTGTCATCATGGTGAAGAGAAGCAGTTGTGAAATGAGTGACATGGTTGTTAAGAATGCTGCACGGGCATAAATGTGAGGATGGTCATAAGTGTGAGGACCAGTCAAAAGTGTGAGGACCTGTCAGAAATGACTTTCCAGCCCTCTGAGTAGTCCCTATACACATAGCCATGGCCACCCGGTCACATGACCAGCTAGCCACGCCCACCCAGTCACATGGCCTCCAAGCCACGCCCACACAATAAGCCACGCCCACAACGGTGTCCCTCTTACCAATGTTAAAATCTGTTCACCTTACCCTATACACATAGCCATGGCCACCCGGTCACATGACCAGCTAGCCACGCCCACCCAGTCACATGACCAGCTAGCCACGCCCACAAAATAAGCCACGCCCACAATGTCCCTCTTTACCAATGTTAAAATCTGGTCACCTTAAATTTGCAGTTAAACCAGATTAGGAGCAATAGGGTTTGAACTGAAATCCTGGTTATTCCTAGTAGTGAATGCAGACTCCTGCATGTCAAGTATAGAAGGGAAGGGTCTGGGTCAGAAGTACAGGAACATTTTTCAGATCCTCTGTTGGATGACCCCACTTGCCTAGACCGACAGCACACATAGATAAAAGCAGGGAGCAGTGAATAACAGGCATGGGAATGTTCCTTAGATGCTTAGAATGGGTGGGGAAAACAATAAGAAATTCTAGTCTTTGGAAAGAGAGAGTAGAAAGTTAAGCAGTTGCAAATAGAAGGAAACAGCAGCCAGCTAAGCATGTCCAAAGCTACCACAGTTGGAGGAAATACATCTAAAGCAGCATCAAGGCCTGAAAAGCGCAGACTAAGCCCAAACCAGCATCAGTACAACAGCCACAGAGGCCGACTCTGAAAATGTCAAGACTTTTATATGGATTAGTAATGCGAAGCCAGAAGCAGTGATAATGAAGAATGCAATACATTTAACAATATGAGGATAGAAAGTGTAAAACCAGAGCTTATTTTGTGCGTTTTGTTATAGTAACTTTCAGAAGTAAAGAGAAGCTATGTTTAATTTTAAAGAAAAAAGAATCCTCTTTTTAGCAATAAAATTTGCTAAAATTCCCAAGCCGTGCAGGATAAGTTTGTTCTTTTATTGTTTATTTATATTTTACTATGTAGTCATTTTAAAGTAATTGAATATGTGGTATTTTCTGCTTTCTCATAAAATGTCTTCCTGTGAGGATAAATTTCAAACACTATTTCTCAAATTATGCTTGAACATTAAATCAGCTAAACATCAGGTAAGCAATATACCTGTGAGTTTCCTCTGAAGAGTAGATAAATCTTGCTTTAATTCATTCTTCTGTAGATGAAATATTTTTAATTGAATTGTTTCATGCTCCATTGATTCTATTTCTAAGGAAGTAATAATTTTCAAGTTAGAAATCTATTAACAATGTAATATTTATTACAAAACTCTATGGCATGCCCTTTCTAAATATTTTGAAATAGAATTATATAAAGAAAGTAATAAAATCCAGTTCTGCAAGAAATTATATACAGTATACTTTTGGATTTAATAATCGCATATAGATTTCCTGCTAACAGATATATGCATGTTTTAACTATTGTACAGGATTACATCTTATTCTATGTGCATTTTTATTGATAGTTATGTTGTCCAGTTATATGAGAAAGTATAATATTAATTTGAAAAATACGTGACTAATTTGAACCTAAATATGAAGCAAAAAATAAAATATTTATGATCAACAACAAAACAGTAAGTGTTCAAAAGTTGTTCTCCCAAATAAGAGAAAAGTAATATAAGAAAAACACTATATACAAGTTGCTTAGTAGCAATGATGCACCACAGATGCTGTTTTAGTTAATAGTGTGTTGGAGATTCACAGCACAGTTTGAATCCTGTGAAATACTAGTTTAACTACTGCTGCTTCTCACTGGTTCATTTTAAAATTCACATTTTCTCATACAAGAGCTTGCAATTATACAGATTTATCTGACTAATTACCTTTATATAAAAAAATGATATGAAAATTGCTGTCTGCTTAAGTTAGTCATTTGATGGATACATTAGATTCTACCAAACTGTTGAACACACTACCTTGAAATTAAAGTTGGCAACTATTGCCTGAATAGTTGCCTCTAATCACTTTGCTTTTAGAAAGTATTATTTTTAATACAAATTTTATACTTATTTTAATAACTGTGTGAGTTAATGTGGTTTTCTTTTGTATTTTTGCTGTATGTGTTTCTAAGCACAATAATGTTTCTTATCCCAAAGGGCATAATATGGTATCCTATTCTATTGTTGATCAAAGCAGTATTTAGCATGTGATTAAGGGTTACTTTTTGGAATAGGTAATTGATAGATCCTTTCTTTGGGAACAAAAGAAACATTTTTGTTGCTTTTGATTTTCTGTTGGAATAATTCTACAATCTAAAGTCTTTATCAAACTTTCAGTCTGTAACACTACAAATGCCACAAGAGAAAATTTTTCCCAATGTAGCAGTTCTTAGGAACCACATATCTTCAACAAACTGGTAGATCATTCTGTTGCTATATGCTACTGATGTCATGAAGCTTTCTTGTCTGCAACTGCTGCAGTTATCCTATGACCAATAGTGTGTGATGCAGCTGCCATCCTTGTCATTATTAATATTCGATGCTTGTAGAGAAGGCCATGAAAGAATGTCTGTGATGCTATCCTAAAAAATGATCAACTTAGCATGAAAAATGGCCAGCCTGACTGCTACCTGTGCTAATTACAGCTCACACTGACTCTAGCGCTAGACCAGGGCTGTTAAACTCCCAGCCCATGGGCTGGATGAGTCACAAGCTGACCACGCCCACGCCTGGTTTAGCGAAGGGAGAAAAAGTCACCATATGTCATGCTATATACTGACGTGGATCGGCAGAAATCGAGGCAGATTCGCTTAACAGTAACAATGACTTTAATTATTACGTCAACAAGCAAGAGAACAATCGCGAACAGCTAACTGCATGAACAGTGTGAACAACCCGAAACCTCGTAAGCTGACAGCTCTTATATACCCGAGCTGTCAGCGTCTAACCCAATCAGCGCCCTCCTATTTCCCGCCAGGATAGCACCTCTTCTGGCGGCTGCAATTACGCATGCACCGACTGCCAGGATATAACATGTCACGTGGCGCCGTCATGACGCCGTGAGTTTGAAACCTTTGTTCTAGACTTTGAGGTTTAGAATTATTTAAAAAAAACTTGTTACATACAACTAATATTATTTTCATATTCTAATATTTACTAAGGATGCAGTAAGATAAAATAGCAAATGGAAAGTTGAAAGATAAATAACAATAACTTAAATCTAGCCTCGAGTATATCCTACATAAAAATAATAGAGTGTTGAAATCCACAGTTAAAGTTCTCTGCAGCAGACAGGAAGCTTCACTATAGTATACTGTTTTTCACTTTAGTCAAATGGTTATATTAAATAAAAAATTTAAAGTCTGGAAAAAGTATGAGTTTATTTTGCCAGAGAGTTTTAGTACAAACATTTATGTTCTGCAGTAATCTAAGTTAAAATGTTTAAACTGAAGACCTACCTTTTCTCAGAAGACTTTCCTTCTCATCTAGTTCACCTATTTCAGTCTGAGCTCTTTTTTTAATTACAAGTTCCCGATTTAATATTAACCCATATTCATTGTTGAAATTTTTAATTTCCTTCAAAAATGTTTCATCTTCTTCAGCAATTTTTGTCTTTAGATTTTTCTTATTACGTTATAAAATATAAAAAGTGTAAATGAAAAAATTAACCTTAAATTACTTTTTAAATATACATTTTAATATATAGAAAATATTGGGAGATATGTCAAAGCACTATCTATAATACCCAGTAATGGGTTTCAAATTCCGTCGCTACTGGTTCACTTGTGGGCATGCATATGTGCATGCGTCCAGGCGGCTGGGCGGAGCTCCCACCGCTGCTACCTGTTCGCCCAATCTGGGGCAAACCGGTAGCAACCCACTACTGATAATACCCACTATACTGATCTTAGAAATAGAATACAAATATTAGAGTATGCATTATAAGAGCATAATAAAAATATTCATCTTACATTTATACACTATGGAAATTTCCCATTTGACTATGAATATGAAAAATTACTTATTTTTGATGCATGGTCTAAACTGCATTTTATCATAAATAATCTCAACTGATTTCAGTATAATTTATTTCAAGGTACATTTCCTTATATTTTATGTTTCTTAATATTAGCAATAACAAAGTTATAACTCTATTATGGCAAGGACATTGTTGGTCAACACAAAATCTGGGCCAAAAAAGCCAATTGCCAGGAAGCCAGCCATCATGACAGCAGATGTCCTGTTAAAATTAATAGTTTATTGTTAAACACTCAAAGAGCCATTTGGACCCATTTCCCACAGAAAAGAAAACACCAGGAGCCACAAAACCTTTCCCATGCCTGACTATTTCTTGAGTGGTCACAAAGCTAGCATATGAATTGGGTTTTTAAATTCGGAGTTTTATAAATTGGGCCTACTATTTAATAATTTTAATTATTTTTAAATACTGTCTGTCTTTGTGTTTTTAATTAGGCTGTACACCGCCCTGAGTCCTTCGGGAGAAGGGCGGTATAGAAATTAAATAAATAAATAAATAAATAAATAAATAAATAAATAAATAAATAAATAAATGAAGTTGAATTAAACGTTCTGTTTTCTTCTGAAACTTTTCTTTTTTTTTTTGGATTTATCCATGGTTTGCCTACTGGGGGTTGAAAAGCTCAATAAATCGTGTGCCGGTGGGTATTGCACATTGGTTGTTGTGATGCATATTTTGAGTGACAGGGAGCCACAGCAGAGGGGTGAAAGAGCCACATGCGGCTCCAGAGCCACAGGTTGCTAACTCCTGGTGTAAGGGGATATAACGATATAACCTTATAAGGGAATAATAAGATTGTGAGCCCAGAAAGGGGAAGTTGTGAGGGAATGGTCTTGGAAAACGTATTTAAAGATCTGTATTCCTTTGTCTCATAGCCTTTCTGTCAGCTACCTAGATTAGCACAGAAGGCCAGCTTTTGCAAAACTTCAAAAAAGGCTCTTGTATTGTTCAACGTGTCTCCTGTTGATTCAGTTTGAGAAATTCAAATCTCACAGCAATAGTAGCAATTTATTAGTTACTAATAATAATGATTGTGTTAAATAATACATTTTTTATTTTTTTATTTGTGGAAATAAATTATCATAATTACTTGTAAAAATCAATTATTTTAACTTATGGGCTGAGAACCCATTAATTGTTGCCTCATTAGAACCCCAAACCTTTGGGTTAAGTGTAATTCTAAAAAGGTTGGATACTACATATTTAAAATGCTACCATTGGAAACATACATATGCTTCAAGATTAGTATTCTTCTGATTTAGAAGATCAGCTTTCTGTTTTTCTAAACTCTCTTTTCGTTTCTTGAAAAGTTCCAAATTAAAGAGCTTTTCAGATAGCAACTGAGCCTATAAAAAGAAAAACATACAAGTTGTGAAATTAAAAACAAGTGGTATTTTTGTTACGGTTTGTTGTTGGCCAGATGTTACACATATGACAATATTTGTAAGATTTTAAAAACCAATATAAACACATTTTAAAAATGGTATTATCTCTTAATTCCAACTGATCAAAATAAAGCAAGTCTTTTAAAATAGGTAGAGGTCCTGCATTTAGACAAACTTTCCATTTCAGAAGAATTTGGAGATGCAGATCCAAGTTTTCTCTTCCAAACCTCTAGCTGCCAAACTTTATCTCTGGTTCAGTTTTCCTTACATTTGAGACTGCTTGATTGAAAATGCCTTGGAAATAGCTCACTGATGGAGAAACAGAGCATTCCATCTTCCAACCAGGACTCACCGTTAGTGAAGGACTTTGTCTCTTTGGTCATTATAGAACTGGGACATGCTGGCCGAGGAGTGACTACATTTATATTGGATTATACTGGTGAGATCAACTGTGGCCCAAACTACTTATGCAATATATTCTTGAGAGCAGCATTTTTGAAAAGAAAGTACTGAACCTTGAAAGGTGAAATGCTATAATTCAAAGTTCTAATTACATGCTACCTAGTTTTTCACAAGAACATACCAAAAATGTATACTTCCTTGATCAAAAGCAGTTCAGCCACATGAGCTTTGTATTTCTCTATATATTTATAATATCTTGAATGCATGAAAATTAGAAATAAAATTTGTAGAGCAATCTGGAAATGGAATTTAGAATGGAACTGCAGTCAACCTAATACACTGCATTAGAAGAGCATATTTTGAATTTTTTACTATCCCAAAACTGATAAGTGGTGACAATTTTAATGGTGAACTGAATTTATTTTATCCAGCAGAAGTAATGCATATTGGCTTTTTCAGGATTGTGAATGCATGCAACAGACTTTTGAAAAATAAATTGAGCCAAATATATAAGTTAATGTTCATTGACCTTTATGTAATTATGTGAGTTTAAAGTTATAATTGGTTTAGGAATGCTTTTCTAGTTTTCCTCATTTGTAATTCATAGAAATTGTTTCCCCACTTTCACAACCTTCTATATCTGCCATAGTAACCAAAACTGTAAATCAGAATGAGTCAATAGCAAATTAGCGATGTATAAAGTACATGGAATTATGACTGTCATAAATTATTTTATAAACAGCAACCAAATGAATGTCATTGCCTGTCAAAAATATAGTTCTTGTAATTTTGCAGAAGGGACAATGGGTTTTCTCTTCTGTGACCTTGGTTTACGGCTAAATGAGAGGTCATGAAAAATTCAAGAATGTTCAAGAACATTCAAACACATTCTTTTGATAAACTCTGTGAATTTCTATATATTTGTATTATATCTTCCTAACTTATTTACTTATTTATAATTTATAAATAACTTATTTATAGTCTTTAGAAATAAACAAAAAAGACCCAATATTTTAAAAAATGAGATATAGCTGGACAGTCTTCTAATTGAAAGCAATTAGATTGATTTTAAATAGCTTAGCAACTTAATGGGCAGTTATAGATTTTATATCTATATGATCTGCTTACAATATGCTGTTGAAATGAAATTACAGAGATGGAAAATTCTGAATCCTGCCTCAAACGAACCTAAAAAAAATAGTCCCTTGAGTTCTTGCATTTGGAATCTCTCCTAATTTTTTTCAAGGTGGTCTGAAAGGATTTGGAAAAATGGTCTACCCATTTTTATGAAGTTTTGATTAATTTTATGAAAAACTCTCCAATGAAAGCAAATGCAATCAAAACAAATTTCTAAACTTGCAAGGAAGTGAAGTGAGAAAAATTTGCAAATCTTCTAAAGCTTATTTCTTTTTTAAGAATTCCTGAAAGTTTTTTCTGAACATGCTTGAGAGCACTTCTTACAATTCCTTAAATGATACCTGAAATAAGTTAAATCATAGTTTACCCTATCCTCTTCTAGAATAATTGCAAGGATTAGATCAAAAAATTGTCTTTTATTCACATCTTAGTATTGCCAAAGCATAATGAATAGATAATATTTTCCATTATCTGGTTCATTTTTGTCATCAGACACTATGATTGAACTTGATGTCCACATTTAACCACTATCAAGAAACATAACAAAATTTAATATCAATTAATACCAAAGGTAAGAGAATTTTCCTTCCTTCCTTCCCTCCCTCCCTTCCGTTTGTATCTTCTATGCCTTTAGAATAATCCTGTTGAACACTGCTAATACTTTAAAACAGTGATGCTCTGTATGCTAACACATATGGATCATGATAAATTCCACCAATTTTTTAATATAAATGTTGATATATAACAAAAAGAAAACAGTAAAAGATATCAAAAGTTATAACATTAGTTAAAAAATCCATTGCCCTTACTTCAATTTCCAATTTTTGTTTTTGTTCACCAAGTTGCTGTGTAATTTGATTAGCTTTTTCATGATTTTTGCTTATATCCTGTTTAACTGCAATATAAAGCATACACTTATACATTGAATATATTCAGAAACAAACATTCTTTTTCCATAAACATGAAATAGTTAAAAAAATCTCAAAGATATTTGATCAATGAACTGAGTTGTGGTACCAAATAGTAGCAAATTCGTTATGAGTACCACTGTGAATGTCAGCATTAATCAGTTTTAGGAAAAATAACACCTTTTTTTGAAAATAGGCTGCCTATTTATTCCAGAGAATTAAAACCTTCAATAATTTTGATGAGCCAGAAATCTTTAAAGGCAATTCTCTCTCCATCCCTCCCTCCCTCTCTCTCTCTCTCTCTACCTCTCCCGCCCTCCCTTCCCCCCTCGTACACACACACCATTTTTCCAGTTCTCCAAAATCAGTTCCAAATCCCTGCAGAAAGGAAATAAACACTTTACCATCTGGCAATTGAACAATACAAAGCATTGTTAGGATATCGTAATTCTTCATGATTGCTGTGATGTTCTTTTATTCAATTACTTAGTCTCAAAGGGACATTTAAAGTTACCATGTTGTGCCAATTAAAAAAAGACACACACATCCATGGTTTTGAAACAACAGGGGAAGTTGGATCAGGAAAACTTGGACAAAATGAGTACCAATAATAACAACAATAATAGCAACCAGGGCAACAACAAAAGCTAGGGCTTATTAACAATCAGATGAAGCAATCTGTGGCACTTCTACGTATTGGCTTCTCTGCATTCGTATCACAGGTCAGTCTGAAGCAGCAAGCCTGCTTTATGTATTTAGGCCTCCCCTCTTCTAAAGATCCCTGCGTAGTATCTGTGTCTTAATCTTAATTAAATAAGGGTAGGCCCTGACCTTGATGCATCAGACACCTCTTTTCTTCAGCTTTCTGTTCCACGAGGAAGATTTGCTGGAACAGGGAGTCTAGGTTCATTTTGAGATTTCTGAGTATGAGGAGACGAAAAGAGTAATTGATCTGCTGTGTTTTTAGCTGTGGAGCTACAAGGTAGAAGCCTTTTCCACAGAGAAATCTGGACAAAACCACATCAGATGTGTGGTGTGTGACAGTAATTTTGCTCTGATTAATAAACAAAGTCTGGCATCTATTAAGCTAGCATATGACAGAAGGGTAACTAACTCTGGCTTGGTTATGTAATGTGCTATGGACTGATAATTTTTTATGATGGTGAGGTTTTAAATTTCTCTCTCACCTTCAGTTTAAAGTGGTACCGCCCACTTGCTCACTCTCTCACAGGAATGTTTATTTGTTTAATTCACTTATGTGGCCGCCCAATGCAAGCCAAATAATTCTGATTGGCAACAACATCTAACAAAAAGTATACAAAACATACATCAAGAGGGAATAATACAACAATAAAATGGTGGCTCAAACAGCAGCAACACTATCATCCAATCAGGGCTCTGACATTTCAGGGTCCAAAGGCCTGGAGGAAGAGCCAGGTTTAAAGTCAGAGTCAGAGCCATTTATAGATAAGGAGGAAGGTCATTTCATATGACCCAGTCATCACGAAGAAGGCTTGTCTTCTGAGTCTCACAAGGCGGCCTCTTTTCAGTGAAAGGTCTTGGAATGTCCCCTCATAGTGTGTGGCATCCTAGGGAAAAGGCAGTTGTACAAGGACTCAGATCTATGCCATGTAGAGTTTTAAAAGTGATAATCAGTACTTTGAACTGCACCCAGAAGCCAATTGAGAGTGAATGCAGCTTGCAAATTAGTAGTATCAAACGGCCCTTGGAAGAAGTGCCCATAACTCCTTGCAGGGTTTCATTCTGGACCAGCTTTAGCTTTCTGATGTTCCTTAAGGCCAACTCCATGTAAACTGAGATATGACTGAGAAGTGAGGGACTTGTCAGGTGCCCCCAAATCAAAAACAGGTCAAGTGGCACGTAAAATGAAATTGTGCAAAGCCCCCTGGCAGTGTCAACCACAATTGCCACATGATTCTCAAGTAGGAACTGTTCACATAGAAGGCTACCAAATTGAATCTGAGTGGGCAATGCCCAGAGTCAAGAATGGGACTCCTCTGATTCTGGGATCCAAGAGGCACTAAATTCACAGCCATATAGTCTTGGCAACATTGAGCATTGTTCTTCCCCATCCTGGCCTCCAGGAGGTCAGGGGCTGTGCTTGTTTAATTCACATTAAGACGCAGATACTACGCAGGGATCTTTATAAGAAGGGAGGCCTAAATACATAAAGTAGGCTTGCTGCTTCAGACTGATCTGTGATATGAATGCAGAGGTCAATATGTAGAAGTGACACAGATGGCTTCATCTGATTGTAAGAGATCAAAAAAAGCCGCAGTCTTTTTTTGTTGCTGTATTATTGTTGCTATTGTCAGGACAGAATTTTGACAGCATCTTCAGAATGGCTGGAGTGTACCCTGGTATAGTCATGTGAAAAAGTTAAATACACCCCACTGAACTTTTAACTTTTAAAATATATTGCAACATACAGATATTTGATCTTCATTACAACAATATTGATAGATAAAGTGGATATAATATAACAAATATTCTGTGTACCATCTAAATTAGCTGTCTCCAACCTTTCTGGCTTGGTGGCCTGGCGGGAAGGTAAAGGAATAGTTCCCTGCTAGTGGTAGGCAGGCGTGCACGAGTGCGCACAGCTCCATTTGTAAGAACCAGACATGCGCACCAGCCACTCATGCAAGGGGAGTTTCGAGGGCGAATGCAAGACGGCTGCCACTTGCACGAAGGAAGCTTCACATGTACACTCTCGTCTGCCACTTGCATAGCCTGATTCCGAACAGGCTGCAGCTTGTTAGTGGGCCATAATCCAGGGGTTGGGGACCCCTGATCTTCACACATTATAAGGTAATTCTTTAAACTGTAAACAAAATAGACTAGTATCTGATAAAGTTCCTTTTTGACTTTTTTATCATATTAATATTAATTTATGAATAAATTGATTTATGATATTATGATATTAATTTATGAATAAGAATTTTGTTGTTCATTTTTATAAGAATTTACTCAAACTTGCAAATTGCTTCACATATAGGATGAAAATAATCTATATTTTTAATCAAACCTGGAAGCTTAAGACCTTGGAATTAACATTCTAGATTTTAATATCATATTATCATTATCATTATCATTATTAATTAGATTTATATGCCGCCCTCTCTCTGAAGGACTCAGGGTGGCTTACATTAAACGAAACAATCCCAATAAATACAAATTAAAACAGACTAAAACAGACTAAAAACCAATTTAAAACAGTAGACCCCATCAGTCCTGGCTAAGGCGTTTAAACAGCCAGGTCTTAAACTCACGGCAGAAGGTACAAAGGTCGGGGGCCAGCCAAAGACCACGGGAAGTTGATTCCAAAGGGTGGGCGCAGCCACAGAGAAGGCTCTATCCCTGGGGGTTAGACATTGTCTAACCAACAGCACCCTGAGTAGGCCCTCTCTGTGGGAACGCACCGGGCGATGGGAAGTCGATGCTGGTGGCAGGTGATCCGACAGATATCCTGGGCCTAAGCCACAAAGGGCTTTATAGGTTAACACCAGCACCTTGAATCTCACCCGGAGGGCAACCGGCAACCAATGCAAGTCGCGCAGGAGAGGTGTAACATGGGAGTATTGTGATCCTCCTATTACAACCCGCGCGGCCACATTCTGCACCAGCTGAAAAGTCCGAGTGGTCCTCAAGGGCAGCCCCAGGTAGAGAGCATTGCAGTAGTCAATCCGGGAGATGACTAACGCATGAGTGACTGTGCATAGGGCATCACGGTCCAAATATGGGCGCAACTGGCGCACCAGGCGAACCTGGGCATACGCCCCCCCTGGTCACGGCTGAATATCCATTCATGATTGTAGTTTTGGCTTAGAATTACCATATTTTTTTTGGAAAATTGCTTATCTTTAACAACTAATGCTAGGCACATTCTTCTCACATGGAAATTAAAGCTACTGAATTTAATTGAGGAATTGAGGGAAATAAATCTATTTACTTTTAAAAAATAGTAATTCAAAGTACTGATTGACAAAGTTGAATAAGGGAAAATTCACCTATTCTGAAAGTTGTAAGAAAATAAAAATGTCAAGCATACAACACAGACCAACAGAACACACAGTCAGATAAGAACAAGAGGAAAAATGGGAAGTATTAAAATTAGAATGTTAAATTTAAAATCAAAGGATTAATCAAAGAAGAAAAACTAAATTTCCATATATATTACAAATTAGGAGAATAAGCAAAAACATTTTAAAAAATGGAATTAGAGAAAATAATTTAGGGAAAACAATAGGTTGTTATAAAATTAATTGTGTCACTGAAATAGCAATTACAAGAATTTTGGCAACCTTTCTAGAAATATTTGTCCAAAGACTGGATTTACCACATCAAGAGCCTGTCATTGTGAAACTGATTAAGGTCTGGTCAGTTTCAGGCAGCAATGCCAGCTGGCATAGGGTTCTAATGAACTAATTAACAGAGCTGTTAACTTGTGATTAGCACTTTTTAGGGAAATTCAGTGCTGTGGTGAAAAAGCATCTTATGAAAAGCTTCTTTAAGCAATCACTCTTTCTTGTAATAGGAAAAATAGGAAAAAAAGAAGTCAGGCACAGCATCTTATCTAAATGATAGAACAGCAACCAGCAAACTTTGCAAATTTCTCTGTCTCTCTGTCTCCTTCTCTCTCTCACACACACACACATTCACTTAGCAACCATGTTGTTTATCAATAATTTTGCAGGAACCACAAGGTTTACCCTGAAGATTGGGCAATGTTAAAGGCTGTCTGTGGGATGGATATACCCACTGACCAACATATGTTACTTTAATTCTGCAGAATAGAAGAGACTGATATCACCTGGATATCTTACTTTATTACTTTCCATTTCTACCTTTGTTTCCCTGAAAATAAGACCCTGTCTTATATTTTTTTGAACCCTGAAATAAGCTCTTGGCCTTATTGCCATGCACTCAAAAGCCCGATTGGGCTTATTATCAGGGGCTGTCTTATTTTGGGGGAAACAGGGTATTTTGCTGCTGTTATGTACACATAAGTTTGCTAAACAATATTAACCATACTTTATTGAATAAACCACAATTGCAATGTCACATAAAATCTTACAGGATAAACTATATATTTACAGCAATAGCTGAGACCACATAACACATATTAAATGAAAACCAAAGAAATCACTGACTGTCTAAATGAACTTGATGTACAATATTGTGTCCTGTGTCATGGACTCTACTTAACTTTTGACTGGTGTACCAGGAATCTAACCTCCAAATTATTCAGCAATCATTTCAAAAACAAAACTTGATTTGGTTTCAGGTACATACATTTAGATTTATTGAAATGGTGAACTGTCCACATGTCTGATTAATAATTTTCCCATTCTGTAATATTAAGACATTATATGCTGATAATTCTTTGAGTTCTCTGAGATCACATCTAAGAGTTCACCTCTACCTTAGTGTAATGTCTGAAATGAGTAATAATTTTTGAAAGTAGATAAAACAGAGGAAATATTATGCAACTAGGAACTGTGATGTGCCTTAGTAATAAAATGTCAGCTCTATAAAGATTTATGTCTATTGCAATCCCTGTGACTGATGTGAAATGTCAGTGAGGAACTTGTCTCATTGTGCTTTTCCATATTAAGGAGCTGTTCAGTGATTCAAGATTAGAAAAAATGGAATGGCATAGTTAAGTAGTAAACTGATGTTTTGGCACTTAAAGAATATATATTTGGTCTCAAAACATTTAACACTTGAATGGCTTAAGTTCCTCAGAAGCATGACTAGAAAACAGATTTTTTACTCTGTCTCTCTCCCTCTCCCTCCCCCTTTCTCTTTTACATAGAAACAATTGCATTGGACTGCTTTTTTCACAGAGCGTACTGAATATTTTTGAAAACCCAAGTCCTCTTGTTTTAACACTTGTTTTATTTGTTTATTAACTGCATTAAATCTGAATAGAAAGAACAAATACAGATGTAATTATGTAAA